TCTGTCGCTCGGCTCGGCTAATGTCCGTCCCATGCACTGAACGCGCTCTCATCCACATCACGAGTAGACACGCCCCTTATTGCTGATTGGCTACAAGTTTGTTTTGCGATTCGGCCCGAATCAGTTTTATAAAGTGTTTTTGAAAAATCACTTACTATGCCTTTAATACTCGAGTATGTAAACTTTTGAACTGGGTCAATTTTGTAATTTCAGTTATTTTGTCTTGTGGACTATATCTGTTGTATAATAGCATATTCAGGACAGTAGTAAATAAATAAAATAAAATAAAAAAAATACTAATTTTGTTAAAGGTGCACTATACAGAAAATTTCAATATGTTCAAAACATGGACCCTCCTGGAGGCTGGAACACAGTCAGAACAGAAGCACATGCCCCCTGCCCCTGAAATTATATCAGTTGCCAGAAAACACATAGCACAACCAACTCTCAAGAGAGTTGCACACACTAAGCACAACCAAATCAAGAGCTTACCTGCAGGAAGAGGAGTAATGAGTTTTTTTTTTTTTTTTTATAAAATGCATAAAAAGCATTTTCTTATGAATGAACAGTTATGCTAACACATGACTGTAAAAATATAGCCATCTTCAGTCTAACTGACTAATAAACAATTGTCATCATAAAAATATAAGTACAAAGTCTTGTAATCTGTTGAAAGCAACATTAGCTAATCGTATTTGTGCCAATACAGTAGAAGATATTGGAGCTTCCCGAGCTTCAGACACCGACAATATGCCCTCACCTGGCACCATGCTTCATTATTAGGGAGCTACACACCCACTGGCCAAAGGTTGCAGCCCAGAAATGTCTGTACTTTATCTTTTGGAAAATTCTGCATGGTGCACCTTTAAAATCATTAACACTTTGTAAAGTGAACTTTTGACCACAACTGTTTATGCTTACCAGCATGGAAAAAAACTATAAAACACATGCCTTGGTACTTATGAGTTTGGAATGTTTTTGAAAAGTGATTTTCATTTCATAAGACTGAAATAATATCATATTTTAACAATAAAAACAAAAGATATTATTTTGCACCATCAAATCTCAAATAAATGTATTTTTGTGGCATGGCCCAGAGAGAGAGAGAGAAAAAAACGTAGTTTGGTTACAAGCAATGAAACCGATGTAACAAGAATTTCTTAAAATTTTGTTTAAGGCCTTTATTATGTAAACAGTTGCACATATAGGTCTCCTCAAAAAAAGTCCACACAATTAAGGATATGGGGCAAGTTCCAATTACTGCAATAACAACAGATCAGAATTGTCCACTGTATTCTCAAAAAAAAGTCTCTAAATATGTAGCAGCATTGCTGCAAAAGGTTGATTGAAGAGGATATGCTAAACTAAAGATGAAAAACAGTAACAGAGTTCCTGTATCACCACAGATCAAAATACTTTGGCTGTGATTGTGTTTTGGGCAGGGCAACTGATCTGTCAGTCACTGTCATGTCCTGGTCAGCAGACCAGAGTACCAAAAGTACCATGAGTACAGAAAGCCTAGCTGACTCATGACACCTGCATATCAGTCATCATCCTCATCATCCGAGTCCATTACCCGCCGTCGGTTAAACTGGGAACAAAACAGAGACATTAACTACACACTTATGTTTATAGATTTATGAAACTTCAATTTTTACAATCTCGAGAACAGATTTTTAATACAATCACAACGTACTTACCTTTACAGTTGTTTTCTTCTCTGTTTGTTGACTGACTTTCTCCAGGATCTCTATTAATCCAGCCTCTGTAATCTAGAGATACAACACTCAATGCTATAACACGGACATTCTAAAATTATTAAACACATTATGAATGATGCTTCATCTGCTTTCTTACTTTTCCTCCAAGCTGTCCAAAGCGAGCCATCTGTATCAGGTAATTCTCCACAGCTTTTGCTTTATCTGGCTTTACAAGAGCCAAATTACTCACTAAATAAAAAAGCAACAACATCATTACTGTAGATTTTAGTTTTAAATATAAAGGTGCAGTATGGAATATTGACAGCTAGCAGTTGAAATGAGTACTGCATCACAGAATCACACATACCAAAGCAAAAACAGATATTCCAACATGGAATGCACATTTTAAACTACAATAACTGGCTGTAGCATTGTTTTCAAAGAAACAAGTCAACTTAAAATGTTTCCAAAATATCTGCAAACATATTATGGTATTGTTATGCTTTAGTACAGTCAAACAAATTACATACAGCACCTTTAAAAGGGTTCACATAATGTAAAAATTCTATCATCATTTAGGCTACGTTTACACTAGAGCGTTTTCGTTTTAAAACACATAACTTTTGCTACGGTTACGCCTGTTGTTTACACTACTTCGGCGACTTTCGAAAACTCTAGTGAAGTGAAGTGACATGTGGCCAAGTATGGTGACCCATACTCGGAATTAGTGCTCTGCATTTATCCCATCCAAAGTGCACACACACAGCAGTGAACACACACACACCGTGAACACACACCCGGAGCAGTGGGCAGCCATTTTTTCACAAAGGAGGTTCGGTGCTTTGCTCAAGGGCACCTCAGTCGTGGTATTGACGGTGGAAGAGAGCTCCACCCACCCACAATCCCTGCTGGTACGAGACTCGAACCCGCAACCTTTGGGTTACGAGTCCGACTCTCTAACCATTAGGCCACGACTTCCCCCTGCTAACAAACTCTGGGGTTGCGTTTCAGTGTAAACGGACCAAAACGGAGACTTTTGAAAATGATGGCGTGGCTGCCAACATTTGCTCTGCATATCCTTGATGACAATAACATATAACATCATGTAAACAATAACATTATGCTCATTGTTGTACCTGCCTGAAAGGTCAAGTGACATGCGTTTTTGGTTGTGTAATGTGGACGGAGATCGTTTCTGAAACGCAGTGAAAATGCAAGTGTAGACGAGGATCGTTTTTATTTTAAAACGCTGTTTTAAAATGAAAACGCAATAGTGTAAACAGGGCCTCACTCATCCCCATGTTGTTCCAAACCTACAAGTCTTTTGTTAATCCTTGGAAAGCAAATCAATGTACATACATAGAGCACATCAAAAATGGTAAACAGAAGCAGAAACATGTTAGCTTGATGCATGAGAACAATCTAGAGATGTACTTATGGTTGAGCTTCTGTTAACCATATCTGATGCGAGTATGGTGGAGCTTCTGTTAACCATATCTGATGTGTGGAGAATACAGTACCTACAAGCAGGGTTGGGGTGTAACAGAATACATGTAACTTAGTTACATATTTAAAATGCAAAATGAGTAACTATTTCATTAGTTACATTTTAATTGGGTGGTAATCAAATTAGTTACATCCGTAAAGTATTTCAGATTACCAAAGTGATTACTTTGAATTGTAATGTTGTTTATTATTATTTATTACATTTAAACATTAATGTGAACTGTAAGGGGCAATTAATGTAAAGAGCAATTGGTGATTTTCTGACCCTGACACAAAAGCACCCTAAGCTACAGTTCTGCTCATAAGTTTCATACCCCTTGCAGAATATGCAAAATTTTAATAATTTTAACAAAAGTTAATCATAAATTATTTTTATTAACGTGTTGTTTTATTACTGTCCTGAATAAGTTATTTCACATAACAGATGTTTACATATACTGCACAAGACAAAATAACTGAATTTTTAAAAATGGCCCCATTCAAAAATTTGCATACCCTTGAATCTTAATGGTTTGTTGTTACCTGAATGATCCACGATTGTTTTCATGTTTTGTGATAGTTGTTTGTGAGTCCCTTGTTTTGTCTTGAGCAGTTAAACTGCCCTGCTGTTCTGAAAAATCCTCCAGGTCCTGCACATACTTTGATTTTCCAGCATCTTCTGCATATTTGAACCCTTTCCAACAATGACTGTATGATTTTTGAGATCCATCTTTTCACACTAATGACAATTGAGGGACTCGTACACAACTATTACAGAAGGTGAAAACATTTACTGATGATGCTCAAGAAGGAAACACAATGCATTAAAAGCAGGGGTTGTAAACTTTTGAACAGGATGACGTGTACATTTTTATTTAGTTTAAAGATGAAAGATGTTTCCCAGAAGACAAAATAAGTACAGTTAACCCTGTTCATCCAATTCAAAAGATTTACACAACCCAGCTCTTAATGTATTGTGTTGCCTTATTGAGCATCAGTAAACGTTTAACCAAAAGAAAAACCAAGTCCTATGTTTATGGCAAGCCATTTTAAATACCTCTTGCTGTACTAGTCATAATTTAGTTTTGACTAGTCAAAATTCCAATTCCAGATATCTATTCTGCAATTTTGACTCGTTGTAATTGAATTAAGATATCTACACTGTGATTATGACTAGTCATTATATGCACTGAAGATATCTACAATGTTATTTTGACTAGTCATAATATACATTCGAGATATCTACAATGCTATTATGACTAGTGATATTGTTCCATTGGAAAATATTTTCGGATATCTACAAATGAGTTTTGACTAGTAGAAATTGTAATTAAAGATATCTATAATTGATTTTGTACTAGGCATAATTCTAATTAGAGATATCTCAAATTACAATTCTACTAGTGATAATTAAATTAGAGATATCTCTAACTGAATTAACACCAGTAAAAATTATAATTCAAGATATCTCTAAATGGTGTTTGACTAGTCATAATTATATTACAGATATCTTTAATTCATGATTTCTTAAAGATATCTAAAATACATTTGTAGATATCTGAAAGTAATTTATTACTAGTCAAATTACAGTTGTAGATATCTTGAATTGGATTTTTGACTAGGCACAAATTAAGAGATATCTTGAATTGGAATTCTTAGTCAAAACTAATTTAAAGATATCTGCAATTTAATTTAATGGATATCTCAATCTGATTTTTGACTAGGAAGATATTTCTTTGGAGATATCTGCATTTAGCTTTGTGACTAGGAAGAATTTCAATGTAGATATCTGGAATTAACAATGTGACTAGTCAAAATTCCTTTAGTAAATTACCTTTATTTTTTTATTCCATGGCGGAAACAAGCTGCCATAACGACACAAGTAAACCTGAATCCATACACAACGTAATGTAACCTCATCAATGCCAGTTAAACTTTTATTAAATTGTAATCTTTTTAAAATCAGCCTTCACCTTTTTTTGACTGCATCTAATTCTGAAGCATCGTTCTTGTCCGTCATGCATTTGTACTATTTTTCATGTTTTTGTTGTATAATTCCATTGTTCTTCATTATGTCTAAATGTATAATAAATAAATTCTGACGAGCAGTTTGCGGTTTTCTGCCTTTATTGAACATTACACTGCATTTGGTCCGTTTTGCAACATGATTCAATTAAAATCACAGCGCTATACACACATGCACGCTGGAGACCTTTTACCACATAAGGCTGCATCCAGATATTATTTAAAAATCCCTGAAGCACTTCATCCAGTAGCTTTTCTCTCCGTGACAAGAAAAGCAGACTTATATATGCTGTTAGCAGTTAGCATTAAACATTAGTTGGGGAGGAGCTCTGGGAGGAGCTGAGTAAATTTAGTCTCACGTCACACAACAGCAGATTCAACTAGGAGCAGGTACGATTCAGATATCTTAAAATATAATTGTGACTAGTCGAAACTGAATTAGAGATATCTCTAATTACCTTTGCGTATATGTGACGCATCTATTGAAGATATCTCACGTAATTACAGATATCTTAAATGGAGTTTTGACTAGTCAAAGTATTTGGAGATATCTCTAATCAGATTTCTTACTAGTGCAATTATAATTGTAGATATCTCTAATTGTCATTCTGACTAGTCGAATTATAATTATGACTCGTCAAAATACAATTGTTCCCATCTTAAATTATATTTATGGATAGTCAAAACAAACTTTTAAATGCTAAAACAGCTTGCGATACTATGTTTGGCGGATGTCAACAAATACGTTACAAATTACTTTTCAAAGCACGTATTTTGTAATCTGTAGTGAAATACATATTAAATGTAACCTTCCCAACCCTGCTTACATGACAATACAAGTGATAGCTTGCAAAGGTTTGTAAATGGACTTACACCTGGCACGGGCAGACTGATCCAAGACTTGAGCCAATATAGAGTTTCTCATCTCAGTCTCTCTGTTAAAGTCACAATGATATTAAAACTGTTCAGACATAATCCGTCTAGACAACAATTAGGCAATGAGAAAAACATAGTGTGAAATTACGTAGAAAGGGTGAAAATGGTCCAAATTATCTGAATTCCTCTAAATAAATGTGGTTCATCTGAATGAATTCTGCCTTTCATAAAGTAGTAAGTTTAGTGTTGAATTACATTTTATGAAAATGTGTTAAATGTTGTATAAACAATGTCATGTCACACCTCTGTTCATCAATTTACACTGGCTACCAATAGCTGCTCGCATAAAATTCAAGGCATTGATGTTTGCCTACATAACCACCACTGGCTCTGCACCCCTTTACCTAAATTCACTAATTCAGAATTAGGTGCCATCTAGAAGCACGTGTTCTGCAAGTGAATGGCACATTATAGTGCAAGACCAAAGAGGCACAAAATCACTTTCACAGACTTTTACCTTAACTGTTCCCTCCTGGTGGAATGACCTGCCCAACTCAGTCCGAGAAGTCCTTAGCCATCTTCAAGGAATGACTAAAAACATATCTCTTCCATCTTCATTTGACCCTCTAACTCTAGCACTCTCTATTCTACTTATATTCTTACTACTTGTCTTCTTTATTTAAAAAAAGAAAAAGAAAAAAAGATAGCCTCTAACACTTGTACTGTCTATTCTTTTTCTATTCTTACTACTTGTTTTCTTTATATAAAAAAAGTCCCTCTAACACTAGCATTCTCTATTCTTTTTCTATTCTTTTGACTATATATATATACATGTACAGTAAATGAACATACTTTCCAGAAGGCCAACTATTCACTAAAAATGTTTTTTTTATTGGTTTTATTTTATTGGTTTTTGTTAAATGTGAGCCAAAATCATCACAATTAAAAGAACCAAAGACTTAAACTACTTCAGTCTGTGTGCACTGAATTTATTTAATACACGAGTTTCACAATTTGAGTTGAATTACTGAAATAAATGAACTTTTCCACGACATTCTAATTTATTGAGATGCACCTGTATATATATAAACCCTTTAACACTTAGCATTCCCTATTCTTTTTCTATCTACTTGTTTTATTTTTATTCATTATGAAAAAAAACAACCTTGCTACGTGTACTGTGTTAGGCTAACCGAGACTTGTCTCAGCACTTACATATTATTGCCCTTTTGTTGGTTTTTATTGTTTCTATTGTCCTCATTTGTAAGTCGCATTGGATAAAAGCATCTGCTAAATGACTAAATGTAAATATATATAAACAGATATTTTAAATATTTTAAGAGCATGTTCAACATTGGGTAACATAACACTTTTCAATGACCAATAACTTTTAATGTAATTTAATCTGCATCAGAAAACTTTTGTTTGTTATTGTTGTTTGTTTTACCTCTGTTTGGCCTCCTGCTGCCCCTGCTGGTCACTGGAAGGGTCCTAAAAGGGGACATGTAAAATTCATATGTATTATATATATAGGGTTCCAAGCACCAAATTCCAATTTTCTTCTTCTTTTCTTCCCTAAACATGTCCATACTTCAGAAACTGTAAGCTGTAGAGACATATAAACTATAAACAATAATGTAATTTGCATTTTGGTTCATATCTCTGGAACTGAAAGGGCTAGCTTCAATTTTTTTTCCCTTACCATGGGAAATATACATGACACCATTTTCAGCTAAAAACAGAAATTTTTTTTATGCATTTTGGAAGTTCATTAACATAACAGTGATTTGGGGGCTTGAAAAAGCAAACTTTTGAAAAAAGGGTTTCAAATTGCACGTTTTTGGAAACAATACCATTATGGTTTCTGTGTAAACTATAAAAACATGCACATTACGTGTTCAGTCTAAAGGCATGTGCGATTTTCTTTACAGAGTGACATCCCCAACTACAGGCCTGGCATGCATGTTACAAAGTGCGCAAGCTGCGTAGGGCCCCGAAACACCAGGGGGCCCCCTTGCTTTCAAAGATGATTTAATTTTAGTTTCATTTTTTAATTTGACCAGCGGTTATGAAAACATGAATGTTAATTTATTTTAATGCGGTGCGCTGTCGCTCTTTCTATGTAAAAATCAGTCAAATCATGTAACGTGAATGTCATACAGTCTCTTGCTCGAGACAAAAAAAAATAAAACGAGTAGAAAGCCGCGGAAGAGACGCTGTTTCTCAAGCACTTACCGTGAGCATGATTCAAGATGGAGTGAACACAGACAAAGGCGTTTCGTTTCTTCAACAAACTGTGTACAAAGCAGATATAGACTATGCTGGCAAAAAGAGTTGTCAAAAACTTTTTGATATACAAGCATCTCTCCCTTAAGATGTCTGTGATCCCCTTCTGCTTTAAGAAGACCATCATTATCCCTGTCCCTAAAAAGCATGTTGTCAGCTGCCTGAATGACTACCGACCTGTAGCGCTGACCTCTACCATCATGAAGTGCTTTGAGCGAATTGTCAAATATTACATCTGCTCTTCCCTGCCAGACACATTGGATCCTCTCCAATTTGCATACCGCAAAAACAGATCGACAGATGATGCCATCAGTCTTGCAATGCACAGTGCTCTCACACACTTGGATAAGAGAATGTGAGAATGTTGTTCATCGACTATAGTTCTGCCTTCAATACAATCATCCCAGCCAAACTTATCATAAAACTTAAGGATTTAGGATTTAACACACCACTATGCAACTGGATTTAGGATTTTCTGACGAGCAGACCCCAAGTGGTGAGAATTGGGAACTGTCTATCTTCCACGCTAACTCTGAGCACAGGTGCTCCACAGGGTTGCATTCTAAGTCCCTTACTGTACTCTCTGTTCACGCTAGGGGTGTAACGATTCATCGGTATGGATCGATACATAGATACGATGTCTGACGATATGATGCATCGATGCCACGCGTAAAATATCGATATCTGTAGTATAAATAGGCACCTTTATTTTGGCATTGTCCACATTTTCACATAATGTCCGTATGCATTACCGCCAACGCGTGCATTCTCGTTCAAACTCACGTATCAGGACTCGATATAAGGACTGCCTGAAGGCACAAGGCGAGCATAAAAGACGCTCGGGATTGTTGGCGGAACAGTTGAGCGCTGTGTGAGAAGTTCCCTCTCGAGCTTTCACGAGACATCACGGAGATATTTCTCCGTTATGGGAACTCCTTCCCTTCCAACCTTTCCTGAAGTCCTATTGGCTCCCGCCAGTCCAAATGACTGGCCAATTGACGCGAAGTATGCAAATCGCATGCAAATACTGACGAGCTCGAGAGGCAGTATAAAATGCGGTGCACGCGACAATTACGTCAGAATCTTCTACTTCACCTGTTGAATTCACTATGGCAACAATCTGCAAGATCTGCGCGGGACCGATAGAGCCGCCGGATCAGCACGACTACTGCGTCGCCTGCCTGGGCCTGGCCCACGCCGAGGCGGCGCTGGACGAGTCCAACTGCGGGCATTGCGCGGACCTTCCGGCCCGCGTGCTCCGGACCCGCCGCGATGTGGCTCGCGGCCTATTCGGGATGAGGCCCACTGCCGCCAGCGTGCCGCTGGTGGGCCCTCCCGGTGACGGGAGCGTCGTCTTGTCGCTCCACCAACCCCAACGGTCGCCCCGTTCCCCGGTCTCACTCCCCGAGGACTGCTTCCGCCCTCCTGCCAACATCGAAACGGAGTTTGTATCCTTTAGCCAGGAGGAGGGGGATGACTCGATGTCCATCTCGGCCTCGGAGAGGGAGGATTGGGCGGGATCGGAGTCCGATCAGCCGGACAGCATGGGGCCCCCAGACCTCCAGGAGGAGCTCATGAGGGTTCTGTCAAGGGCTGTCCAGGAGTTGGAGCTTACCTGGAGTCCTCCAGAGGAGCCTGCCAGGAGTAAGCTTGACTCCTGGTATTTCAGGTCCACCCGGAAAGCTGACTCGAGGACGTCGGTCCCCTTTTTCCCCGACGTACATGAGCAGCTGGTAAAAACATGGTCTGCGCCCCAATCAGCGCGCGTCCACTCTGCCACACAGGCCATTTTTTCCCACGTGGATGGGGCGGAGGCCCACGGGTACGTGCGCTCTCCCCCAGTCGAGGAGACCGTCGCTGCGCACCTGTGTCCTACAGCAGCCAAGACCCTAGGCTCAGACATCAGCCTCCCCTCAAAGTCGTGCAGGACCACCGCCCACCTTGCCATTAAAGCATATGCGTCTGATGGCGAGGCGGCTTCCGTGCTGCCTTCCCAGCGGAAGGATAACCCCAGGCCAGCGACCACAGCGATGACGGCTAACGTTAATGCTCCTCGCCAGGAGCCGGATTTCCGGAGGAAGGCGTGGGGTCCTGGGAGGAAACGCCACGGCCAGCGGAGGAGCCCGCGACGTGACTCTCGCCCGCCGCCGGCGGCTAAGCCGTCCTCCTGACGGTCTGAAGAGGAGTGCGTG